GGATCCCTTTGGGATCCAAGGTTTATTGAACCTCAACACAGCAAAGGACCAAATAAGGAAAAAGGGACAGCGAGGGGAGCATGGCTGACTGCCAGAGGCTCATCCACAAAGTGGCTGCTGCACCTTTTATACCCCTGGGGGTTGCCTCAGCCAGCCCTGGCCCCTCCCAAAGTCCATCAGTCAACTCTCCTTGCTGTCCTGTGGAGGAGACCTTGCAGGTTGGCTGGAGGGGAGGTGTTGTCATGCCAAGCCCCCCCAGCCACAGGCTTCCCCCATTGCCAGCTGCCCCAGGCATGGGGCACATGTGCACACCCTCCCTCCACATGTCCCTGACAACCCAGGCTGGCTGGGGGAAACAATACAGAGCGGGGAAAGGGGACTGTGGGGAGAACAGAGGGTGTCCAAACAACAAACCATACATCAACAACACTCCTCTTAACATACACACAATATTCATCCCTTAATTGTGAGAGCCAGTCATCATATTACCCATCTATAACACATCTCCCACCACTGGGTGCGAGGGTCTGTGTGAGCCTGGCAGCTGATAGCCCTGGAGCTCTGGTCTCCTCCCCAAAGATGCTAAGCTTGTACTTTGTGAACGTCCCCAGTTCCTGAGCTTCATCTTCATCAAAGAACAGTCCAGGGCCTCACTCCGAAGGCCTGTTCAGGGTGTGGTGGTGTTCTGTGCAGCTTTTGTAATACAGTTCTAAAAGTCCTTCATGAAAATGTTTAAGTCAAAAACTATAATATTTCAGTCTCTGACAAGGTTGAAAGGGGAGCTTGGGAGAATATTTAAAATCTATCTTGTAAAAAACCCCACACACTCAATTTATCTGGCCTCAGCAAAATAGACCTGACCTTTTTTCCTTAATTTTCTGAGCTGAGCAAAGTAATAGGATCATACTTACTAGAGCTTTTGAAAGTTAGATTGAAGGCTGCTTATAGTCTGTAAAAGCAGCATATACACAGAACATCTGAAGTGTGCTTATAGAGAAATACGTGTTAAAATGAGTGTAGCTTTTAAATTTATCTTTTTTTCTGAGCTTTGGGAGCAGCCTTTGTCATAAGGATTCCCCTGGGACTCCTTCTGAGGCTTTTTTTGGAGAATCAATCCTATTCCTTCAGCTGTTGGCCACAGTGTGAATCACTTATTTGCATTGAAATGAAATCCATGCTGTCTGTCCCATACATCCCCCACTGCAGGGTAATAATAAAATTTCAATTTCTGGGACTTTTGAACTGGTTCATCAGAGATGAAGCAGTCTCTTTACTTTTGAAAATCTGGGGGGAAGGAGAGGAGGGAGCTGCAGCATTGCAGCTGTCTTCTGTGCAGAGGCAGAGTCTTGATTTGAGGGTGTCAGGATTTACTGGGATATGTCTTCAGGCTTAATTGCTTGGCACATTTGCATGATAGAGAACTTGCAGTAATGAAGGCAAAACTTCATCCACAGAAAGCCCTCTGCCAGGAGAGGCCAGAATCAGTTGGGACTCAATTACCCAAGCTTGAAACAAGGGAGAAGAAAGCCAGAGGAAGAGCTGAAGCAGACAGGCTTGTCCTGCTGTTGCTGGATGGTGGACACAGATAACCAAACACAGTCACAAGAAGCACCTCTTCCAGGTGACTCTGTGGCTGAGGGATGCTTTACCTCCTGGTGCATAAATAGCAATGCTTGTCTCTGTAAGTCAGCATTTTGGCAGCAAACCTTCAGCTGGCACCGGCCCATCATGGCCTGGTTTTGAGAAGAGGGTGAATCTAAGAACATCAAACAGAATGGGCTGAGCCAAACGTGGCCTTCAGCTCTGTTTGAGTCTCTTGTGGTGTGTGAGAGCAGGACCAGCACGCAAAGGATTAGGAAAATAAACAAAGTGCAGGCAATTCCTGTGGGGATGGGCACCCACATCGCAGGGACAGAGCTGCTGCTGGTCCTGTCTGGGCAAATCTCCCACCACCATTGCACAAGTGGGCAGATGGAGGGTGCACTTGGGGCTTGGAGGTGTAATTTAGGAGATATTTCCAGCTCTGCAGCTGGTGAGTTTGCTCCCAAGGAAGGTTTCTTAGATACACCAAAACCATCATTGTTCATCCTTCCAAATCATGCCATGGGTGGAGGGGCTTGCTTGGCGGTTCTAGGAGCCAATGTTGGCCTATCAAATTAGCAATCTCCAGTTAAAATCTCTCCTAGTCTGGAAAAAGGAAATTACTTATTTTGTTTGTCTTTTAAAAGTCTAATGTATAACACACTGAAGTAAATGAACTTTAAATGTTTTCAGATCAGAATATGAAGCTCTAAATCTCTGTAGTCTCTAGAGCTAAAGACTTGCAGTTGAAAAAGGGTGGGAGAACAAATAGGACATTCTGCAAAATGCATTAAAAAAACAGCCAAGCATGAGAAAACAGATCGGGAGTTTCTGGTTTGCAGGCTGAAAGAGTTCTTGGTGAGAGTTCACAGGCCAGCTCGTAAGAAGGGTTTGCAAACTCAGTTTAAGAAAGGCCATAAAAAGCAGGAAGAAAATCCAGCAAAGAAAAGCAAATTAGGCCTCGAAGTGGGGAAATTTGAACTGATCTTGATTTTGACAACTGGAAAGAAATCCATCTGGTTCTGGGTTTCTGAGGGCGAATGTGTGAGTGTTTTGCACAAAGCGAAGCCTTGCAGAGTCTCACAGCCTATGAGGAGGAGGAGACTGAGCTCTGGCCTGGGAACAGCATTTTGTGCTACAGGAGGAGCCTCTTGATCCCTGTGGATGCTGCTGGGTCACCTGTGTCTTTATAACATGCTGAGCAGAGGAAAGGTGAGCTGCCAGCACCATGAGCATCCTCCTCCTACAGGGACAGGGAGCTGGTGGCAGATGGAAATGCCAAGCAGTGCAGGAAAGGCTCTGTTTCCTCCCTTCCATCAAGGGCCTCCTTTTGGATAGTGCCCAAGCAATAAGTTTTAGCTTTATAGCAACATTTGGTCCTGATGTACAAATTGCTGAGCTTAACAGGGACAAAGGGGCAACGCTTTACAAACTACCCTGGATTTAAGCAAGTCCATGGAGATGATGGTCTGGAGGAGGTTTCCATTCTGGAAACAACCACCAGTTCCATGTTCCCCAGCAAAGGTCTGGATGGCACCAGTGTACAGGAGCACGTGAGGTCAGAGGAGAGGACCCAGGCACCCTGGACTGAGTGTGAATCTGGCCCAGATAAAGGTAATGGCTTTCTAAAAGCATCGCTCTCAGTGCTGCCAACCATATGGACCATTGCTTTTATCCCAAAAAAATGTTTATGATCCTCCTTTACCTCTCTCTGTGTCATGGTTGAGTGTTTTCTTTATTTCCCTTGAAATAATAATCTAAATCAGGGAATTGGGAACCCATAGCCTGCTTGTGTGTATATATATATATATGGGGTTTTTTTGAGACTATAAATTGGGGAACAGTTAAAATTATATTATTCCTGGCAGCAAAATTCCTTTTTTAATAGACAATTTGAAGTTATTATGTTGGAAACAGTTTTCCCCACGTGTTTGTGCATGTGTGGTGTGGAGGGAACAGTGCCAAGAGGGCTCCAGGCAGCTTCTGAGGCAGGGGAAGTTGCTGGGAGCTTGCTAAAGGCTGCAGGTTTGCAGCTGATAGTAGGAAAAAACTTTGAAGACACCATCTTTCAGTTCTTAAGTAAGCTTGGTCTTATCAATGGACATTTTGCCTTAGGAAGAACTGAAGAATTGTATTTTCAAGATCTTTTTCTAGCAGGATCTGTTTTTTTACTTCTCTTAGCTGTTTGTTTTTACGAGGTTTGTGAATGCAGTGCGTTCTCCTGTGCACCAGGGATAGACACTTGTTTCTAATTAGTATTTATTGGATTATTTTAGTCAAAAATAGGCTTTGTATCAGAGCCTCCCAATGTACACTTCATTCTTTGTTCACAAGATGGTGTTTTATTGCCTTGCTTGCTTTTTTATCAGCTTCAATCTACTGAAAAGCTGGTGGAAAGAGCTCTTTTGGGGAGCTGCCCTAGAACAAATTAAACCAGGTTAAACAGATTTCAGCCTCTTATACTGCATCTATGTCTTTCATCAGTCCAGGCATGTTTGTGACTCATATGGCTGGAAATAGCAGCCAGCATGTGTCCATGGCTGTGTCCAGCTTCCTGCTGCTTTTCCCAGTTGCTGGAGTTAGCTCCAAAGCCTGGCTCAGGTGACATTAGCAGTAGGTATTGCTTGGTTTATGGGTGTGGATGGGACTGACTAATAGCACACCCATGTATGTGGAATTCCATGTGTGTGGAATAACACATAGGTAATGTTTGACATTGGTAAAATAATGTGGAAAATCTGTAGTTTAATGGCATCTGAGTTCCTGACTTGAGGTCATATGACAAAAAGATTTCCACAGTTTACCTTGGGACTTAAGAGCAAATGGAAATGTGAATACCAAGCTAAACCCTTGACTGGTGTGTTTCTCACGCTGTAAATGACTAATCTTATTTGGGGAGAAAACCTCCCTAAACTAATGTGTATCTGTGTGGACAAGGGTAGCTGCAAGTGAAAATAGCAGGATTGGTCCCTTGGCCTCAGGGGTTGCCCATCCTGCACATGGAGCTGCCTAGCATGGGTTTATCCTGTTTGGTGATAGAAATGAAAGGGATGGGCCCTGAAGTCAGGAGCACAGCAAGTGGGCTCAGAGGGATGGAACATGGAATAAGAAGTAGACTCACAGCCTTTCTTCTAAAGAAACAGCACATATGCTTTTAAATATAAAATAAATGCAGAATATTTGGCAGTGGCTCACTAGGAGAAACAGCAAATTCATTTAGCTGGGGACCAAGGGGAGCTGTGTAGATTCAGCACAATTTAACTGCAGGTCAAGCCTGAGTTTTCCTTTTCCTGCTGCACATCCCTGTTTTCCACAGCACACATAAAATATTAGTACTGCAAACTTCATGTCCCAACACAGCTCCTCCATGTACATCACACACTATAAATCTCAGATTTTCTTCTTTCTTTCTCTTCCAGGACAGTGGCCCTGCCCAGAGCAGGAGGTCGATGCCCCATGGGTCTGGGGGCAGCCCTGTGGACAGCAAGCAGATGCTGAACGTGCAGCATCACCAACCAACCCGGCTTTACGCCAGCAACAGCCCCGAGTCAGCCCTTCCAGGCCAGCTGAGCGGACTCCACATCACTCCTGCCCACAGGTAGGACCAGGGCAGGGCTTGGCTCTGCATCTGCTGCTGCTTCTGCAAACTAAGGTTCAGGGAGTGCACAGAGCCTTTGTGCTCCTGGAGCTCCTGAGGTCGCGGAATCTTAGACTCACTTTTAATTGGAAAGGCCTTCAAGATCATTTTCTGTAACCATTGACATAACTCTGTCCAGTCCATCAAGATGCTGGGCTGGTCAAGTATAGGTGGGAGGAGAAAAGAAACTAACCAAATTAACAAAGCAAATCAAAAATAAAAGGGTCTGGAGACACCAGTTTCTGAACAAAATGGCCACATCTACATAGGTAGCAGCTGCAACATTGAATTGAAGCTTGTGATGCTGTAGCTCAGGTATGAATCTTGGTGAAGGTGCTCATTCTCTAGATCTCTGTTAAGATCCTTCTATTGCTGATGCGAGTAGTTAGATAAGTGGCCCCTACGTACAGTCCCCCAGCTGGGATTAATGCCAAGGAAGACAAGAGGAGGAGAGGTGTAAATTGGATATTAGCAAAACTTTCTTCACCAACAAGGTTGTCAAGCCCTGGCACAGGCTGCCTGGGGCAGTGGTAGAGTCACCATACCTGGAGGGACTTAACAAACATCTAGATGATTCTCTTGGGGACATGGCTTAGTGGTGGCCTTGGTAGTGCTGAGGGAATGGTTTGGCTTGATGATCTGAGAGGGCATTTCTAACCTAAACAATTCCATGGCTCTGTGAATGTCACAGACAATAATAGTTTGTTTTTTCAAAGTGTATCTTCAAGATAGGATAGAGGTGCTGCCCTCCTAGGAGTGGGGAACACCTTGCCACAGATCCAGGAGCCAATACTTGTCCTAGAAACTGGAGGTGTTGGCTGAAAGGATGAACTCCAGTAACTGGGATAAGTGCAAGATCTGCTCAGTGCAGCTGTCCGGGAGGCTGAGAAATAAATAATGCTCCTAGGAAAGAAAAGGCTTTTGTGTAGCCAAGAATGGTTTGGGTGAATAACTCAGACTTTGAGACAAGCCAGGTTGTGGACTGGGATGCTTTCACATGGCTTATGAGGATCTTGATTAATGTTCCTCCAAACTGGCAAAATATCCTGTAAGAAAGTAATGTCTGTATCACATGCAAAGAGAGTTTCTTTTCAGCTTGGGAACTTTGTCTGCATGAATCTGTATTTCAGTGATGCAGCAAGCCAGCTCATTCCCTGTGCTGCTCCGGGAAAGTTATTGAAGTTGGAAAGAGGAGAACTGCACAAAAAACAGAGAACAAAATCTGGTGTTATCTGCAAATGAGCCTAAAGCCAGGACATTCTCTTGGGTCTTTGAGTAGAATTGGGGCAGGAGTGTATTTTCTTTGAATTGGAGTGCATTTTCATTGATGAGGCTAGGCTGGCCAAACACCAGGCACCACTAAAGTCACTTGCTTACCCTCTCCTGCTTTCAGCTGAGTAGAGAAGAGGGGAAAAAAATAACAGAGGGTTCATGAGTTGGGATGAGGACAGGGAGAAAACACTCTAAGGGTTTAAATTTAAAGGTATAAAGTAAATTTATTATTAACAGAGTAAAAGGAAGCTAATGAGAAGTAAAATAAGCCCTTAAAACACATTTTTTTCCCCCAGCCCCTCCCTCCTTCCCACTGATAGTGCAGGGAGTCAGGGTGGGGGGCTTTTGGTCAGTTTGTCACTTGAGATCTTCTGTTTGCTCAGGGAGAGAAGTCTGTTCTCTGCTATGCTGTGAGTCCCTCCCATGGACAAACAAGTGTTCCCAAACTGTTGTGGCATGGGTCACTTGTCCCCGGGGTGCAGTCCTCTAAGGACGGGCTGCTCTGGTTTGGAAGCGAGACCCCTCTCTCTGTCTCTGGCAGCAGGAGCCCTCGCTCCATTCGGGGCTTTCTCTGCCATCCTCCCACTCTGCCCTGAGCACTTTCCCCATGGGCTGTGGGTGGGTCTCTGCATCC